AATGCAAATTAGTTCAACTACTGTGGAAAGCAGTTTGGAGATTTCTCAAAAGAACTGACAGCTGAACTACCATTTGACCCAGCAATCCCACCATTTGGAATATATCCAAAGGAAAAGAAGTCATTCTATCAAAAAGATACATGTACCTATATGTGTACTGCAGTAATATTCACAATAGCAAAGACATGGAATCAAGCAGATCCCCATCAACAGTGGATTGGATGAAGAAAATGTGTTACCTATACACTGTGGAATACTATGCAGCCATAAAAAGAATGAAATCATGTCCTTTGCAGCAACATAAATGGAGCTGGAGGCCATTATCCTAAGTAAACACAGAAACAAAAAACCAAATACCACATGTTCTCATTCATAAGTGAGAGCTAAACATTGGGTACATGGGCATAAAAATGAGAACATTAGACACTGGGAATATAAGAGGAAGGAAGAGGATAAGAGCTGAATAAAAACTACCTGTTGGGTCTATGCTTACCACCTGGGAGACAGATTATACACTCATACTCCAAACCTCAACACCATGCAATATATCTAGGTAACAAAGGCCAGCATCATTCTGATACCAAAACCTGGCAGAGACACAAGCAAAAGTCATGTACTCCCTGATTCTAAAATAAGAGTTGGGGAGAAAAAAGAGCAAGTTAAATGAAAAAACAAACAAACAAAAAGTCCAAATATACTCTGCCAATCAAAAGATGAATAAAAACAAAAATTTAGCAATGAAAAAAACCTGGTATTAATTTAGGTAGTAAATCAACCTAAAGACTCACCAACTATGGAAATTATGGATCCAGAAAAGAATGTTTTATAAATCTTAATAAGGTAAAGCACTGTGATTAAAATTAGCAGGTATGTGAAGGGAAGAGTAGGAAGCAAGTATGAGTCCATGGGAATTTCCTTATTGACATGGCATCACACATATCATAAAACTAGAAATGTATAATAATTATAAACATATGTACATAATTACAGTGGGAGCTAAACATTGGGTACACATGGACATAATGATGGGAACAACAGACATGAATGAACAAAGAGGGGAATGAGGAAGGATGACAAAGGTATATGCAAATTTTCAACTGCAAGGAGGTTGGCACCCCTATCCCTTGTGTTGTTCAATGATCGACTGTAATACGCCATGCTTAAGTGTGATTTATCCTAGAAATGTAAGGATGATTCAACATATGTCAATAAATAAATGTGACACATCACATCAACAGAATGAAGAACAAAAACCATATGATCATCTCAATCAATGCAGAAAAAGCACTGGACAAAATTCAACATCTCTTCATAATACAAATCTTAACAAATTAGGCAGACAAAGAACACAGGCCATATATAACAAACTCACAGCTAACATTATACCAAATGGGAAAAAGCTGAAAGCCTTTTTTCTATGAACTTGAACAAGACAACGATGCCCACTTTTGCCACTGTTATTCAATATAGTATTGGAAATCCTAGCCACAGCAATAAGGCAAGAGGCAGAAATAAAAAGCATCCAAATTGGAAAAGAAGAAATCAAACTGTCCTTATTTGAAAATGACATTATCTCATATATATGAAAACCTAAAGACTCCACCAAGAAACCATTAGAACTGATAAATGAATTCAGTGAAGTTGCTGGATTCAAAAATCAACATTCGACAATCAGTAGCATTTCTATATACCAATAACAAACTATCTGAAAAAGAAGTCAAGAAAGCAATCTCATTTACAAGTGCTACAAAAATAAAACATTAATACCTATGAATACATTTAACTAAGGAGTTGAAAGACCTCTAGTAGGAAAACTACGAAACTCTGATGAAAGAAACAATACACACAAATAAAAAGACATCTCATGCTCATGGATCAGAAGAATAAAGTTAAAATGACAATACTATCCAAAGCAATGTGTATATTAAATGCAATCCCTATCAAAATACCAATAACATTTTTCATAGAAATAGAAAAAAAATCTTAAAATTCGTATGGAATTACAAAGGATCCCAAATAGCCAAAGCAATCCTGAACAAAAAAGATAAATCTATAGGCATCACACTACCTGATGTCAAAATATATTACAAAGCTGTAATAACCAAAACAGCATAGTACTGTGTGTACAGACACATGGACCAATGGTATAGAACAGAGAATCCAGAAATAAATCCACATATTTATAGCTGATTTTTCACAAAGGAGCCAACAGTATACATCAGGGAAAAGACACCCTCTTCAGTAAATGGTGTTGGGTAAACGGGATATCCATATGCCAAAGAATGAAATTAGACTCCTATCTCTCACAATATACAAAACCAACTCAGCATAGGTTAAATGCTTAAATGTAAAGCCCACATACATAAACTACTGGAAGAAAATAAAGGGGAAATTCTTTAGGACACTGGTCTAGGCAAAGATTTTATAGCTAACACTTCAAAATCACAGGTAATGAAAACAAAAATCAAATAGAAAAAAAAAAACAAAACAGACAAATAGTACTATGTTAAACTATAAAGCTTCTGCACAGCAAGGAAATGATCCAAAGAGTGAAGAGACAACACGTATAATGAGAGATAACATTTGCAAACTAGTCACCTGACAAGGAACTAATATTTAGAATATATAAGGAACTCAACTCAACAGCAAAAGAACCAAATAATCCAATTAAAAAGTAGGCAAAGGATATGAACAGACATTTCTCAAAAGAAGATCAACATATGTCTAACCATACAAGTGGCTAACAGGTACATGAAAAAAATGTTCCAACATCACTAACCATCAGGAAAGCGTAAATTAAAATCACCATGAGATATCACATCACGCTTCTTAGAACAGCTATGATAGAAAAGATCAGAGATAAGTCTCGCTGAGGATGTGGAGAAAAGAAAAGCCTTGTACACGTACACGGTTGGGGAGAATGTAAATTAGTACAGCCATTTGGGAAAACAGTATGGGGGTTCCTAAAGAAACTAAAAATAGAATTACAATATAATTCAGCAATCCCATTACTGGGTGTTTATCTAAAGGAAATATACTATAATCAGTTTATCAAAGGGGCACTTGCACTGTAGTTCTAATTCACAATAGTCAAAATATGGAACCAACCTAAGTGTCAATCAATGGATGCATGGATAAAGAAAACGTAGTAAGTATACATAATAGAATAGTATTTGGCCATAAAAAAGGATGAAATCCTAACACAGCAACAAGGACGGAAGGAGAGGTCATATGTTATGTAAAGTAAGCCATGCACAAAAAGACAAATATTTCATGTTCTCACTTATATGTAGGGAGCTAAAAAGTTGATCTCATGGAGGAATAGAGTAGAATGATGACCAGAAACTCGTAAGGATGGGTGGAGGTATGAGGAGAGATTTGTCAGTGGGTACAAGCATACAACTGGATAGAATTTTAATAAGTTCTAATGTTCAACGAAACAGCAGGGTGACTACAGTAAACAATAATTTACTGCATATTTCAAAACAGCTAGAAGACTGGAAATGTTCCCAACACAAAGAAATGATAAATGTCTGAGGTGACAGATAATCCTAAGAAACCTGATTTGACTATTATACATTGTATACATGTATCAAAGTATCACATGAATTCCATGAATATGTATAATTATTATGGATCAATTGAGAACATTCTTTAGTTTTACATTAGCTTCCTATGGGGAGCTGAGTACTACACATATATTTTTTGAGTACTATATTTTTAAAAGCAAGCATTATTTGATGCAATTTTACTAAAATTATATCAACCTAGGCAGACAGAAAATATCTGGAGTGGTGTTCAACAAATGATAATGACAGTTATTTCTGAGTGATGGGATGAATATATTTTAATTTTTTTAAAAAAACCATTCTTCTGCATACCTTTCTGTATTTCACGATTTTTAAAATGATGAGTATGTATCATTTCACAGAAAGTTTCTTATAATAAAGAAAAATAATCACAATATGTGCTTGTTATACACAATTTACATTCTAAAAAGTTTTCATAATTTATGGCCTTGAAAACTTCTGGACAAAAACTTAAAGGAGAAATTTACTCATCTCAGAAGAACAGAAAACATGCGACGATTTGTTATTTTCATTGTAACACGTATGGCTAAATACGGATATATAGTTAATCTGTTTCCCATTTCTAAAACCCAGGCATTAGAAAGAAGCCAGAGAGTGTCAAGTTAGAGGCCTGAGCCATGGAAGGGCAGGCAAAGAGTTAAGCCATATCATGATACAACTTTACTTCTTAAAACTACTGCAGAATTTAAGTAACAAATCTCACCTCACCCCCTTCGTTTCTGCTTCCCTGCTCTAACTCCCACCTGCACCTGCTGCTCAACGATACCTCCTTCAGTTTTGTTTTCTTCTTTTGTGCCGCCTGGGATCTGTGACAGCAATGGTTCCAACGCTGGCCGTAAATTGGAATCATGAAGGGAGCTTTAAAACATAGCGGTGACTGGGTTCCATCCCCAGAGACTTTAATTAATTGATCTGGGGTGCAGATTGAGTACTGGAATTGTTTAAGGCTCCCCAGGTGACTCTCATGTGCAACCAAGGTTGAGAATTACTACACCATAGCCTTCTTTAACCCTTTTCCAGCTTTCTCTGTAGCCCTTGAGGACTTTCCTCCAGCTCTTCATGCTCACTTTCACCACAGGGAATGGAGACGATGATAAATGATGACCTATCTCTGGTAGCACTGCATGGAATACACAAAACCTCAGTCCAAAGAGAACAGGCACATCTAGTGTTCATGCACCTTAAGCTTTACAGCACAGCCAAACCATGAACAGAAAGCCTTTGGTGAGAACAAAGAAGCCAGGCATTCTTTATAATAACTCCGGGAGTCTTCTACTCCTGGGAACACTAAGAGGTGATTAAAATCCACTTGAATTAAACCCAGGTGGCTGACAGGGCAATGGAAACAGAATCGACTCCTAGTTTCAGACAAGTACAGGCTTCTAAATGCCTGAACAGACATTCTCCTACCTCACGTTGCTGCTGGTTCAAATTATGTGAATTTCTCTGGCAAAGAGCAATGGTCTCTACCATCGTATCTTCAACACCCTTCAGTGAGGGATCCTCTTGGGTATCTAGATTTAGAAAAAGTGTAAAAACCATTTAAGGATATACTGCCAATGACCTCAGAGCTTCTGTGAAAAGTCACTTTTTATTTCTTTGCCACTCCTTCATTTTCTAGCATATAATAATTCAAAAAACCTGATACTAATGTTTTGTAGATTAACAAACAGATTATTCTGTGAAATAAGAGTTCCCCACAGAAATGTTTTTAGGACAGATAAGGCACATCATACTTAGCATTTCAATATGCTATGGAAATATGGAAAATCCCCAGTCATCTGTCTAAGGATTAGTTAATAGAGAGATTATCGTTCACCTTTCTTGGACTACTATCTCTTCTTCTGCCTATTTCTTAAACATAGATATTCCCCCAAGATACTAGTTTAGGTCTCTTCATTTTCACAGTGATTTCAGCCATTCTTGTTTCAACTCTCATATCTTTATTAATAACTTTCAAATACACAACTCCAATCATTCTTCCATTCAAAATCTACAGGTTGAATTTTCTAATGAAGCTAAGACATTTATGTCCACATGGATGTCCTGCAAGCACTTGAAACTTTGTATGTGCAACTTACTTTTCTCATTTCAAATCTGCTCCTCCTCCGCCATTTACAAACCAAGTTAATGGGATCATCATCTTTAAGTCAACCAGTTTACAAATCTTCATCTTTGGTGCTTCCCTCCCCATCACCCCACACATTCAGACAACTCGCCACGTGTTGCTGATTCTCCTTCCATGCTTGCATACGACCACAGCTTTTACCCTGGTGGACCTTCTCATCATCTCATCCACGCTACTGCAACAGTTGCTTAGTTGAACTTTTGACATCCAAATCCTACATCCCTTGTTCTCTTTTATACTGTCACTTAAGCACAAGTTCAAACAGATCACTCCCTTCCATAAAAACCATCAGAGTCCTAATTCTGAAAAATAGAACATAGGTAAGCGTCTGACACTAAGTAAACAGAGTAAAGACTTGGGCTCCTCTCTCCCTCTGTGCTCCAGTGTCACCCGATTATTTCTCACCCCTTGAGGTTACCAGCCAGGCACTTCCATGTTCATGTTTTCCTCAGCCTCGAAGGTCCTTCTGCTTCTATCAAATTCCTATTTACCCTTCCAGTCTTTCTTCAAAGGCTGTCCACAAAACTCACTGATTTATAGGTTACAAAGAGTTCCTGAATTTTCCACACACCTTTGACATTCTCAATATACCTTTCACGACAGACACACCATCCTGCCGACACTCCAACATTTTATTGACGTATCTGTCTCCATTAGGAGACTAAAATTCTTTGTGCAGCGGGTAGGGAAAGCTATGTTTTAGCAGTCTGTGTATACAGCCCACAGGAACTAAGCACAATGTCTCACAATTAGCAAATCCTCCCAAATACTTAAGCACACTATCAAAATCGAATATCAAAGTAGATGTGCCCGGGGGCAGTGGCTCACGCCTGTAACTCCAGCACTTTGGGAAGCCAAGGTGGGAGAATCACCCTGAGGTCAGGAGTTCAAGACCAGCCTGGCCAACACGGTGAAACCCCATCTCTATCAAAAATACAAAAATTAGGCGGGTATGGTGGCAGGTACCTATAATCCCAGCTACTCAGGAGGCTGAGGCAGGAAGAGTTACTTGAACCTGGGAGGTGGAGGTTGCAGTGGGCTGAGATGGTACTACTGCCCTCCAACCTGGGCAACGAGTGAGACTGTCTCAAAATAAATAAATAAATAAATAAATAAACAAACAAATAAATAAATAAATAAAGTAGATGGCAGGCATGAGACTATTTTTGGAAAATTTATTTTCACTGGAATAAAAAACACTGGCCTCTGCAGACATGCCACCTGCAAATGACTGTAGTGATTTTGGGGAAATACTCTTCTTTTTTCCTCAGTCTTTCGTGTATTATCTTGAAAAGGTATTCTTGGATGAGTGTGGTACTTCATGCCTGTACTACCAGCACTTTGGGAGGCAAAGGTAGGTAGATCACCTGAGGTCAGGAGTTCGAGACCACCCTAGCCAACATGATGAAACCCCATCTTTACTAAAAATACAAAGATTAGCTGGGTGTGCTGGTGGGCACCTGTAGTCCCAGATACTTGGGAGGCTGAGATGGGAAGATCACTTGAACCCAAGAGGCAGAGGGTGCAGTGACCTGAGATCATGCCACTACATTCCAGCCTGGGAGACAAAGAAAGACTCCATCTCAAAAAGGAAAAAAAATAGAAAAGTTATTCTCATAACTCTAAATTTTTTAAAAATGCCATAAAATGCAACAAATATAACCAAATTGACTAAATACATACTGATAGCACAAAAATAGTAATTAAGTGCCCAGTTGAACTATCAATATAAAAAAGTCTATCTGTGTTTACTGGTGTTCCAAAAAGATTTACTATCATACCTGATGATCATAAAACAGCACAGACCCTGTCACCTAGGACCTCACTACAGAAATACAGGTAACTAATACCTGATGATCATAAAACAGCACAGACCCTGTCACCTAGGACTTCACTACAGAAATACAGGTAACTAATACCTGATGATCATAAAACAGCACAGACCCTGTCACCTAGGACCTCACTACAGAAATACAGGTAGCTAATACCTGATGATCATACAATGGCACAGACCCTGTCACCTAGGACTTCACTACAGAAATACAGGTAGCTAATACCTGATGATCATAAAACAGCACAGACCCTGTCACCTAGGACCTCACTACAGAAACACAGGTAACTAATACCTGATGATCATAAAACAGCACAGACTATGTCACCTAGGATCTCACTACAGAAACACAGGTAACTAATACCTGATGATCATAAAACAGCACAGACCCTCTCACCTAGGACCTTACTACAGAAATACAGGTAACTAATACCTGATGATCATACAACAGCACAGACTGTGTCACCTAGGATCTCACTGCAGAAATGCAGGTAACTAATACCTGATGATCATAAAACAGCACAGAACCTCTCACCTAAGGCCTTACTACAAAAATACAGGTAACTAATCTACAGAGAATCAGGGAAATGCTGTATTAGGGAAATGTGTGGACCAAGGGATCTCTAAGAAATGTGTGTTAAAGAGGATCATCTAAAAATCACCCACCAGTGGTTCCCTGATCTTCAGGAGGGCTATTTTTAAAATGTCAAAGAATATGAAAACAAACAACCTAATTTAAAAAATGGGTACAGGACTGGAATGGACATTTCTCCAAATAAATGGCCAAAATACTCATGAAAGTCAATATCACTAATCATTAGAGAAATGCAAATCAAACCGATAATTAGATACCTCACACACATATGAATAGCTACTACTAAAAAAACCCGGAATATAAATGTTGGAAAGAATGTGGAGAAATTGGAACCCTTGTGTACTGTTGGTGGGAATGTAAAATGAAGCAGCAGCTAGGGAAAACAGTATGGCCATTCCTCAAAAAATGAACAGAATTAATACTTGATCCAGCAATCTCACTTCCGATTATACACCCCAAAAGAACTGAAAGCCAGGTCTTGAAGAGAAACTGTACATTCATGTTCATAGTGGCATTAGTCACAATAGCCAAAAAGTGGAAGCGTCCCAGGTGTCCAGTGAAGGATGAATGAATAAATAAAACGTGGCCTACACATGCAATGGAATTTTATTCAGCCTTCAAAAGGAGGAAAATTCTGACACATGCTACAACATTTATGAACCTTATGTTAAATAAGCAAATCTCAAGAGGACAAACACTGTATAATTTCATTCATATGAGATAGTTGAGTAATCAAATTTAGAAAAAGCATGGTGGAAATAGAAAATAAAACGGTATTTACCAGGGGCTGGGAGGAGAGGGGAACAGGGGAGCTGCTGCTGCAGGGGTACAGGTGTTCAGTTTGGGGAGATGAAAACATTTGGAGGTGGATGGGGATAATGACTCTAATAATGTGAATATACTTAATGCTACTGAACTGCGAGCTCAGTGCTGTGCGAATAAACAAAAATAGTTAAAATGCTACATTTTATGTTAGGGTATATTTTATCACAATTTTTAAACATAATTTTTTTGAGATATTCAAGAAATATGATGAAAATTTTACATTTGTTGAGGACAAAGCCACTCAAGATACTAAATTGTCGACTTTCACTTTTCTTGGTTACAACTGTATAAATTCAGTTTGGAAACACTGGCTATGTTCAACGTTCTACTAATCAGAAGGTCTGATTTGCTGTTATTTGGCATATTCATTTTTAGGATGTTAGTTATATCCTCATTTAAACATAACTGAACCATATTTTTGTTATAACAAAAGTATAAACAAAAAGATAACCAGCCAGGCGTGGTGGCTTATGCCTGTAATCCCAGCACCTTGGGAGGCTGAGGTGTGCAGATCACTTGAGCCCAGGAGTTTGAGACCAGCCTGGGTGACATGGTGAACCCCATCTCTACAAAAAATAAAAAATTAGCCTATGTGGTGGTGTGCATCTGTAGTCCCAGCTACTTGGGAGGGTGAGGTAGAAAGACTGCTTGAGCCTGGAAGGCGGAGGCTGCGGTGAGCCAAGACTGGTACCACTGCACTCCATCCTGGGCAACAGAGAGCGAGCCTGTCTCAAAATTTAAAAAAAAAAAAAGATAACCAACAAACAGTGCCTAATTTTCCATACATTTAAGTCCACTGAAAATCAGCATCACAAAGTCACAATGGTTTCTATGATTTCCTGTTCTGAACTCTTGAAAATTAGCTAAAATTGAGATCCATGTCAAAGAGAATAAACAGCAATTATGCATTTATGCAAGTGTAATTATTACATAATAAATGCAGTTCATTAAACGTCTTTTAAAACACAGTGTCCATGGATGAAAAAAGTTGTAATTATATTCGAGAACTTACTTTCACCTTGATGTGTTATCTCTTGAAGTTTGCTTTGTAGTCTCTAGGAGATAAAAAGAATATAGGAGTTAAAAAGGAACACTTTACATTTCTACCCACCAAATACTTGAATTAACATATTTTAAAGGTAAACCCCTCAAAACTACAAGGTTATTAAGAACAGTCCTTTACTGTCAGGCAGAAGTAAATTCTTGTGTTTACAGAAAGGACAGCCAGCAGGACGAGAAGGGACCCAAAGAGTCAGCAGCACCTGTTTTGCCCACCCCTGCTTCTCTTATCCCAGCACGGTCATCACCTACACTCTTTAGGCTCAGTAATGAGGATCAGGATTTATCTACGCTTTGGATGAGGGAATACAACGCATACGGGGTGACACAGTTTGGATATTTGACTCCTCCAAATCTCATGCTGAAATGTGATTCCCAGTGTTGGAAGGTGGGGCTTAGTGGAAGGCGTCTGGGTCATGGGAGTGGATCCCTCACCAACGGCCTGGTGCAGCCCCCTGTGGCAATGAGCGGCTTCTCCCTCTATTAGTTCACATGAGAGCTGGATGTCTAAAGAGCGTGGCACCCCTCCCCAGACCCCAGTCTTGCTCCCTCTGTTGCCATGTGACACATCAGCTCTCCTTGACCCTCGCTTCCTGAGCTCCTCACCAGAAGCAGATGCTGGTGTCATACTTCTAACACAGTCTGCAGAACTGTCAGCCAAATAAACCTCTCTTCCTTGTAAATTACCCAGCCTCAAGTATTCCTTCACAGCAACACAAAAGAGACTAATATACTGGGTCATGAGTAAAAGGGGTATAATATACTGGGCTATGAGTAAAAAGCTTATAAGCTAAATTCATCGACTACTCCCTCTCAGTTACCTCATACCATATGCAAAGGACCAATCACTTCTCAAATCTGCCCTTCTTCTCTCCACTGCCACCGACACACCCAGCTCAAGCCCTCATAGGCTCATACCTGTCCCACTGCCTTCTAAGTCCTGTCTGCTTTGTTTTACCTCCCTCGTCTCCGTCTCCTGCCTCCCATCCCCCACACTCACCAGAGCAGTCTTTATGAAACAAACAACATCAAATCAGTTTCTTGCTTAAAAACCTTTATTTGAGCCCATGTGACAAGAAGATTAGCCACAATTCTTTAGTGTGTCCAACAAAATCTGTCCAAATCTGGATCCAGTCATTGTTTCTTCCCTGACCTGCCTACATACGACACAGCGGAGGCCTAGAGAAGCCGCGGCACTCTCTAAGCAATCCATACTTCTTTGCTTTGTATTCCTAAGCCTTTACAAATGATGGCCTCATTCCTGACAAAGATCCCCTGTTTCTCCTCTCATCTGTGTCAGAAATACTCTTATTTATTCCCTAAAACTAGGTTCATGGTATTGTCGACAAATAAATTGCAAGAAAAAAAAGAGGTATGGGGTAATTTACATATTAAAAGAGATTAAGTGCCTACACAAAGCCTCTGTGGATTATTCTTCCTGGCTTATTTTAGAATTATATGGATAGAAGGAAACTAGAAGCCAATATGGAACATTTTAAAATAGAAATATGATATCCCTAATCCATTCCTAGCCAGATGACAATATTTAAAAAAAAAAAAAAAATTGCTACATCACTTTGCTTCACCCTTCAGGATGGCTACTACCAAGAAAACAGAAAATAAGTGTCAGCAAGAATGCAGAGAAACTGGAACCCTTGAGTATGGCTAGTGGGGATGTAAAATGACATAGATGATATGGAAAACAGTATGGCAATTCCTCAAAAAAAAAAAAAAAGAATTGTTATTTGACCCAACAATTCTACTTCCGGGTATATATCCCAAAGAAATAAAAGCAAGAACTCAAAGGTGTTTGTACACCCATGTTCACAGCAGCACTATTCACAACAACCCAAAGGGGGAAGCAGCCCACGTGCCCACTGAGGGAGGAACGGGCAAACACACTGTGGTATATACATAAAAATACTTGCCAACAACTCAACAAATGGTACACTTACCACATGGTTTTTACTGCTGTAAGTTTTACCTTTTCAAAAAGTACCATAAAGAAATATGAGTCTAGTTAACGCTATAAATGATAAAAATATTCAGGGGTAAATGTACTATCTGCAGCTTACTTTGAAACATAAGAAAAAGATGGATTCATGAATGGATAGAGGAATGGACAGAAATATGATGAAAGAAACATGGGAATATGTTACCTCCAACATTATTAAGAAGGCACCATGAATATCTCCTTTCTTTTCCAATAGATATGCAGTGACTTCATGAAGCTCATACTTCTGAGAAATCTAGCAAAGAAAAAGGATAAATATTTTTATTCACAAATCTTGTTTGTAGAGTGGGAAGATCCCACTGAGGATGAAAAAAGCTCATATGATAATAAATAATGAATTTATACATTATTAGTATGATGCTTTACAGGATAATATGCAAATAACTGACTTTCTAGTCATATAGTGGCTCATTCGGCAGTTCCACTTGAACCAAATTCACTCATTTTTTTCATTTATTTATTTTTAAAAATTGTTACACACCTGAATTAGGTATATACACTGGAGAAAAGCTAACATATATACATACATAGTAATAATACAAACTAGAATTTAATCAAGTATAATTATTAAACAATTGAAAATGACAATGAAAACATTACACATCAACTTGTAAAATATTAATAAAAATGAATAAACTAAAAATCTCTAATTAGTAAAAAAGAAGTATCAGTTAGGCTAAGGAGAAAAAAAGGGAAAACGTACAGAAAGGCATACATTTTCCTGAAAGAGAAGAATCAACACTCTGGAGATGTCGATTCTCTCCGAATTAGTCTATAAATTCAATGTATTCGTAATCAAAATTCCAAAGAGTTTGTTTCTCTTAAAGAAACTTGACAATGTGATCTCTAAATTCACGTGAAATAGTAGGAGATGTAGGACACCAAAGTGGCCAAAGCATTTTACAGAAAAAGAGCAAGGAGGGAGGATTCCTTCTGCAAATAATAAATCTATGGAAAAGCTATGGTATGAGCACAGGGAAAGACAACCAAGGGAGAGAACAGAGCTCATCAAGAGATTCATGTATATTTGGGAGTTTAGTATATGGCAGTAAGGCATTAAAAACCAGTGAGGAAAGGATAATAAAATGCCACATGGACCATCAACTATCATGTGGAAGTAAAGATATAAATCCTCCTTTGATCAGCTTGCAAAAATTAACTCCAGATGGATTAAAAGCCTAAATGTAAGAAGTTAAACTATAAAATTTATATAAGAGAATACCCTTTATTCCATTAAAATAGAAAAGGAAACACACACACTCTCTCTCTCTCTCTCTCTCTTAAGCCTTAAAGACTGGTAAACTAAAATACAAGTCACTAAAAACCAAGTTAAATGATGTGCCATAATAAATTGGAAGAAAGTAACTCCAACACATAAAATTAGCAAAGGATTAGAGATACGAAAATCAGAACTTCTAGGACTCAGTAAGAGAAGGGCAGAAACTCAACAGGAAAATGGGCAAATGATATGAATAAATAATTCAGAGAAAAGAAAATCCCAAGGTTCATCGAACATACAGAAAGATGTTTAATGTATGAGTAATTGCTAATATCCATCATACTGGCAAAAATCAGGAAGACTGAAAACACCAGGCATCAGCAAGGATGTAAAAAATAGCAAATATCAAACACTGCTGATGGGAACAGAGACAATGAGGAAATCAAGTTGGAAGTATCAGTAGTGCTATACTACTTTGCTGTTTAAACAATTCCATTTCCAGGTATATTACTTAGAGAAGCCTCATATGGGCACACAAGAAGATATGTACAAGGATGTATACTGTAACACCGTTTATAATAGCAAAAGATTGGAAACAATCTAAATGTTTGCCAACAGGGAAATAAACTGGCATATTCATTTGACAGACTAACATATGATCATTAAACGAATGAAGTAGATCTACATGTATAATTTTTTTTTTTTTAATTTAGTAAAAGTGGCCTGGTGCAGTAGCTCACACCAGTAATCTCAGAACTTTGGGAGGCCAAGGCTGGCAGATCACTTGAGGTCAGCAGTTCAAGACCAGCCTGGGTAGCATGGTGAAACCCCATCTCTACTAAAAATACAAAAATAAGCACAGTGGCACACATCCATAATTTCAGCAACTTGGGAGGCTGAGGCAGGAGAATCGCTTGAACGTGGGAGGTGGAGGTTGCAGTGAGCCGAGATCACATCACTGCACTCCAGCCTGGGCAAGAGAGAGAGACTCTAAAAAAAAAAATCAAAAAAAAAAAAAAAAAAAATTGGTTAAAAAAAGCAATTTATAATAAAATACCTACTGTATATTAATATAAATTTTAAGAACATATACAACTGTATCATGTATTTTATAGATACATACACATACAGAAAAAATTCAAAACATAGATCAGGAGGGTAAATGCCAGTCTAGGACAGTGGTGACCTCAGGGGAGGCGGGGAGCAAGACAGATAATGGGTGCTTTACTTTTAATATAAACAAGAAGAAAAAGATAACAACGATCTAGGGCCAGTATGGCAAATGTTAACTGTCAAATTTGGCGGGTGGGTATACACATAATTGGAATTCAGCACATTTCTGTAGATTTAAAATATTTCATAATTAAATATTTTTAAAAGTATGTGGGGGCAGTTCAGGAGGTAGATGCAGAAAATACAGGCAACTGTTTCGAGAGTGTTGACAGCAAAGGAAAAGAGATACATGACAGCTAAAAATTAAATGTTAAACGGGAACCATGCTGTTACAGAAAATAGCCTGCGTGTCTGTGTAGACAGACATTCTCATTTAGAAACAGGAAAATAAGGGAAGAGAATCAAGACAATGAGCGTGCTAATGCTACTCAATTGCTATTTAGTCTATTAAGTCTTATGGCACAACAGGACTATCTAATCAACTGTGTCTGCAAACAAGAGCTTGGTCTCCTTTCAATATTTTTACTATGTTTCTTTTTCTATGCTTATTGAATTTCTATCATACTTGGTGAATAACAATTTCTATAAAGCTGACGTTACTAAAATAAATGAAGCAGTTTATCACGGCAATTAAGAACATGCACTATGGAGTCGGACTACCTGGGTTCAATCTCAGGGGCTACCACTTACTAGCTACAAACTTATACAAGTAACTTCATATGTGAGTCTCCCTTCTAATTACCACTTTGACTCATTAATTACCATGATTTTACAGTGAACTGTGATCCTATTTTGATCAAATCTTTTAAACCTTTGACATATTTGACAGGCTTCTCGAAACCAAAGTTCAAATTCTAAAACTGGGTCTTCTTTTTTTATTTTGAGACAGAGTCTCACTCTGTCGCCCAGGCTGGAGTGCAGTGGCGAGATCTCGGCTCACTGCAATCTCTGCCTCCGGGTTAATGCAAGTCTCCTGCCTTGGCCTCCCGAGTAGCTGGGACTACAGGTGTATGCCATCATGCCAGGCTATTTTTTTTTTGTATTTTCAGTGAAGATGGGGTTTCACCATGTTGGTCACGCTAGTCTGGAACTCCTGACCTCAAGTGATCCACCCACCTTGCCCTCTCAAGTGCTGGGATTACAGGTCTGAGCCACCAGGCCCAGCCAAAACTGAGTCTTTGTAACCTCAGCCTAATATTGGGATGTTGCAGAGGGTGCCTGAAGCATACAAAAAAGAGATAATGAACCAGCTTATTTGATGTTCTAAATTATATGGGAAACACTGTCACGTAGGAAATGATGCTTAACGTTCTTTGAATTGAATTTGTATATGGTATTATTAACATGTCTTCCAAAATTCTATGAGATCCCTAGAAATCTGCTATGTCTTAGTATATGTTATCAGTCATATTATGTTAAATTGTTGTAGGCCACAGAAAATAACCAAATTTCCTTGACAACTGTGCCTTTAATCACAGTCATGTTAAGTCACGTTGTCCATAGTTAATTACTTTATTTTGACACTTTTTTTCCTGAGATCTCCTTGCAAATTCTAAAGTGTTGCATTTTCAAGGAGGTCATGAAAAAGAGTGCAACATATACTCTTGAATCCAGGTTTTTGACAACTGTGACACCATATCATCACTGGTTTGGGTAAAAATTTCCCAACCTCCAATGGAAAAAACAAACCTGGCCTCATAAAATTGCTAATCTGACATTAAGAAAAATAGGAATTAATTACACTGGACTGAAGTAATTGTTATGACTTGTTGGAAACACTGCTGATACTTTTTGTGTGTTGCTTTCCAGAGTTAAGAAAACTTTTTTTCTGCAGTGGGGGTAGGCAGGGGCTATTCACGGCCTTAAAATAATTTGGTAAAGTATATTTTTTGCAAGCAATATTAAAACATTTATTTTTTTTCTATACCTGATCCTTCCCAAATTTGGAAACTGAATATTCATATTCTATGGCAATATGGTTATTTTCACGAGTTCAGTAAGAATTTGCTCTGTTTGTAGCAGAAAAATTGGAAACACAGGTTATATTACCAAGGCTTTGATTGGGATGTCATTATTTTTAGATACAACCAGACTGCTTTAAGTAACTAAGCTTAACTATAAGGAGGCAATGAAGTCCTTGGAAAAACTGGCCTGGTACCCCGTCAAGATGCTACGCTTACAGGGTTCCTAGCCTTGCAGTGAGTAAAGAATGCCACTTTCTGAGAAACCCAGGAACCTCAGAATATTTGGGGGCCTCAAAAAAATAATATACCCAGGCATTACAGGTAATATCTGATGATGACTGCTTCGCAGCCTGAAGATGAGAGACTTTTAAAGGTCTAGTCTGAGATTTATTCTAAGTCTCAGCAGAGCAGATTTTTAAAAAGCCTAAATAGCCAATCACTATTCTTGCAGTATAATAATCAAGCCAAATATAACGACACTAAACTTATTTTACAAATCAACTGAACTTACTGTGATTATTTTTGGTAAAAATGGGAGAACTTTCAGAAGAAAAAAAACTACAATAAACATTATGAGATTCTAAACTCATGGTTTGAGATTTTATGATTTACATGCAATTGGACTAAATCCTGAATTTTCAGTTTCCTCCAGTATCTGACCAACTCTCCAAACTAATATTTGAAAATTTTCTCCCATTTTTCTGACTTAGAATCACTGAAATTAAAACTGCTTTTCCTGATGCCCTGCACACTAAAAGCTAGACAACTTGATATAAACTTCGGAGAAATCACAACAACTTACTTATGGACAGAAAGTTCACTGGAACACCTCATTCAAACTGCAATCCAGGAAAATCTGTCAGATTGCCACTTCCTACTTTCACCCCAACTACAGATACTTTAAACACAAATCTTGAAATATTCTCAGCTAGCTCCCCTCCAGACTGAGGGACAAGTTTGCCTCCAAAGAGTAACTTGTGTTTCTCTTTGTTTCTATAGAAATGTCTTTTATTAAATGCCTACTGGCCTATACCTAACTATGATGGAAACCTTACAATAGCATCTCCTAAAATGAGATGCAACTATTTAACCAAACTGAGGTATTTTCACAACCAAGAGACTGTTTCAATAAGATATGGGACAATGTACCCCAATTTGTTCCTTTCCACTTGTTTTAATCTACGATTTTTTCCCCTCTGCTAATCTATTATGTCAACCCAAATCTCTCCAGAGCTACCCACCTAGCTTTTAATACGTGAAACTTTCTGAAAGCAAAGTTTCAAAAGGAACACTGAACAAAACCAAAATACGTCTCCCCAAAATACTGAGGACTGTCAGACAATGAAAATGCAGGGAACCCTCCGCCCCCGCCTCTATCTGCCTGATGGCAGGACATACATTCTTCTTTACTGGAGACAGCACTTGCTTATTGGCCCAGGAGGAATCTGGGAGCAGATTTGACTATCTTCCCACACATGCTCCTACTTTTTACTAGGCTGGAACTGCTCTCTCCTGTCTCATCACTACGCAAGATTTAAGGCTTGGCCAGGCGCGGTGGACTTTGAAAGGCAGAGGCGGGTGGATCACGAGATCAGGGGTTCAAGACCAGCCTGGCCAACATGGTGAAATCCTGTCTCTACTAAAAATACAAAAATTAGCTGGGTGTGGTGGTGGGCACCTGTCATCCCACTACTCAGGAGGCTGAGGCAGAGAATCGCTTGAACTTGGGAGGCAGAGGTTGCAGTGAGCTGAGATCACTCCACTGCAATCCAGCCTGGGCAAGAGAGTAAGACTCCATCTCAAAAAAAAAAAAAAAAAAAGATTTAAGGCTCTTTGTTAAAATACAGTTTAAGCAAAGCCCCTAAGCCACTGCCCTGAGAAAGACACTTTTGAACTGAGGTTTCTGCCACATGATGGGTATAGCAGATATTTGTTAATCTAAGTTTTGTTTTCAGGAGAGTGTCTCAACTAAGAATTTACAAGGTTTAAAAAGAAATTATATCTTTTTCCCCCATTTACTTTGACTGTCTGTCAAACAGGGAATGTTAAAGCAGAGTTTACTCTTGCCTCTTCTACGTTGCTCGTCTCACCTGAATAGTTTCTTCCAGACGGTAGCACTCAAGGACTTGCAGAGTCTCTATAGCTCGGTTTGGGTTGAACTGACATAACAGCTCAATGAACTGCTCTGTGATGCTGGGAGATATTTGCAGCAATTCTTGGTTTATATGAATACCTTCCCTAAAAACATAAAAGATGATACTCAATTGTAGCATTATTTAATCACATCTATAATTAAAAGCTACCAGTAAAATGCATATTACATTAAAACTAGGACTACTTGTTGGTCAGGTAAAAAAACGTGAATTGAAAGTCTCAATGCGCAGGTTACAACCTGGGCTCATGCTTGGTACTTGAGACAGGGGCTAGTTTTGTGGGACTAAGCCTGTGGGAGAGAGATAAAAGGAAAATCCTAAACCCTCCAACCAACTGAGTGAAACTGAGATGGGGCAGGGACCTCTCTTAGGGGCCCGACACACACCTTCCCCTCCCCTTCAAGCATGAAAATAAAGAAAAATCTTGAATCTCTTCAAGGGAAATTCCAGGCATCTAGCTAGCCTGTAGAAGTAAATGAGCAACCTGATAACAAAGAAATAGCTGATAACAAACAATAGCCACCCAAGTAGGTTAGAGCCGCAAGATGTTTGATTCCCTGCAGAAATTAAAGGTAACGTCTTAACATATGTCCCTGAGTTGTTTTTCTGAAACCTGCACAACCAGATTGGAAATGCCAACCACTGTCATGCAGAACTCAGACTGGGGGCCCCTGAGGACTGAACTCATTGCTGTTGTTCACTCTAGATTGCTTCTTGAAGGGTCTGGGGAGAGTCACGCACACAGGCCAAACCTTAATATTACCTTCTGCCCACCCCAAGTTCTTAAACAACGCCTTGCTAAACTTAACCAACTGCAAATCGAAAGAATCTCTGAATCCATCCATGCCATAAAAAACCCCCACTTTAAGATACCCCACGTTTTTGGGCCAAATCAATGTATAACCTCCATGTAGTGATTTGCAATTGGGCCTGTAATTTCTGCTTTCCTGAAATGTTCCCCTGCCTTTAAAAACTCTTCCTGTAAGCCATCATGGAGGTCCTGTCTTAAGCATGAGCTGCTGATTCTCCTTGCTTGGTGCCCTGCAAAGAAACACCTTCCATTCTCTAACTACAAACCTCTAACTCAATGTGGGTGTTTGGCTTTATTGCACCAGGTGAGTGGACCCAGGTAATAGACCTCATCTTAAAAACTGAGTTCCCAGCCATCACAAGATAGGAGGTCGGACACGCCTCAGTATGCCCCTTCCTTATTCACCTTTAACCAGAATTCACTCCTAAGGAGTAGGCAGAAACCAGCTCTGGAAAACACAAAACAGATGACTCACTGTTTCACTGCCTTTAGTCAATGGTGGCTGCGACCAGCCTCTTCCTCCACCTTTGCTGCTTCAACGTGACAGCTCACCAGTTTCATAACACCTCCCTTCCTAAACTAACCGCCATCTCCAGAACTGTTTTGGCAGGATGGCAGAGGACATGCAGTGAGAGTTTTCGTGTCATCTGCTAACCTTTTGATGTCAGAGGGCTGAAAACTGCCCCTTTGCACTGTGCTAACACTTCCACGTTTTGAACACTGGTCCCCCGAGAAGGCATGAAGCTCTACTGTGCATGTGCATATTTCTCTTTTAATAAATATTCATGACTTCTCCTATAGGTTATTGAATATATATACTTAGGTACCCCACTCGGCATAAACAACTGTTCCCTTTACCCCTCCCTTGAACTGCCTGTTTTCAGTTTCTGCCAGAGGCTACGATTCCCAGACTGTAAGAATGGTCACTTTGTAGGCTACAACCCTTTATGTGAAATAAAACTCTCCTTTCGAACTTTATGAACCTTGTAATTCTTCAGTTGACAACATCTGACAATAACTCCAGATAGATAGTGTCAGAAATGAGTGAAATTGTGTAGGCTACCCAGTTGGTGCCCACTACAGAATTGCTTGATTGGTTTGTGAGGAAAAATCCCCACACACATTTTGGTCACCAACGCAGACTGGTTTATCTTACTATCAGAGGGATCGAGACTGAGTCTCAAGAGAATGCTATTAGGTAAAAGAAAATGGGGATGCTAACCAATGTTTCCCCGTACTTTCCCAATGTTTATGCTAAATTGTAGGTTGTACTTTATGCCAAACTGGTTGTATTTCATTTACATCAGCCTTCTGTTAATATGTCTTATAAATGCAAGACTATGGAGCAAATTAAGACTAGACATAAGCATGAATAACAGTACTTAATTCTTTCCAGAAAATTTATTGACACAACCATTTACAAGAACTAAAGTTGTGAATATGCATCAAACCAAGCAAATCACCAGATGAACAGATTCTGATGGACTGACTTGTGAGAGAAATAATGTGTCTGATGGGAAACGATCAGGCCATATCAATATAATCAAAACTTTAACAAATAAGCTGCAGCATTAATGAATTTACATCCATTTCTGACTGTTGCTTTTCGGTCTTGCACATCAATTTGTTACATCCACTTCCCAAAGCTATCTCTTAGTCTTCTATTAACTATTTGCTTTGCAATATACCCACTGCTTTCTTTTGTCAGTTTTGGAAGAAAGCATGTGTGTGTCTTGTGAAATACACACACAAACCCTGCCTACCACAGAATTCAGGTTGGAGAATGTATCTACTTTTACTCCATAACTCTGTAAATGGAACCATATCTAGGGAAAAATAAAAATATGTATCAGTTTTGAAAAATGTACATAAAAATTCTTTTTTTTTTTTTTTTTTGAGACAGCCTCATTCTGTTGCCCTGGCTGGAGTACAGTGGTATAATTTCAATTCACTGCAACCTCTGCCTCCTGGGCTCCAGTGATCCTCTCACCTCAGCCTCCTGAGTAGCTGGGACTACAGGTGTACACCAACACACCTGGCTAATTCTTGATTTTTTGTAGAGATAGGGTCTCACCATGTTGCCCCAGGCTGGTCTCAAACTCACGGGCTCAAGTGATCCACCTGCCTCACCCTCCCAAAGTGCTGTGATTACATGTGTGAGCCACCATGCCTGGCCCACATTACCGCTATTCTAAAATTCAAATTCTGTAAATCAGCTCAACCATTGAGGACGACAGTGTGATGATTCCTCAATGAGCTAGAACCAGAAATACCATATGACCCAGCAGTCCCATTACTGGGTATATACCAAAGGAATATAAATCATTCTACTCTAAAGACATATGCACATGTGTGTTTATTGCAGCACTATTTACAATAGCAATGACTTGGAACCAACCCAAATTGGTTGGTTCCAAGTCAATGGTAGACTAGATAAAGAAAAGGTGGTACATATACACCATGGAATACTATGCAGCCAGAAAAAGGAATGAGATAATGTCCTTTGGAAGGACATGGATGAAGCTGGAAGTCATCATGCTCAACAAACTAACACAGGAACAGAAAACCAAACACCGCGCGTTCTCGCTCATGAGAGTGCTGAACAATGAGAACACATGGACACAGGGAAGGGAACAACACACACCAAGGCCTGTTGGGGGCTGAGGGGTGAGGGGAGGGACCACCATGGCACACGTATACTTATGTAACAAACCTGCACATTCTGCACATGTATCCCAGAACTTAAAGTAAAATAAAAATTAAAAAATAAATAAAATTCAAATTCTGATTTCCTAATATTTGACAAAGAAATTAACATTGTGTTGGAATTTTTTAAAGGCTAGTCTCTTCCTGCCCCCTCATTCTAAAATGTGTATCTAAGTAGACCAGTCTAGATTAATCTTCCCTTTCTCTAAGGAAGAGGATTTCACAATCTCCTTCCGTATCTTGTTTTTATAATTTGGGCCCACTTCAGCTTATCCTAAATCCTGTCTGCTTAAATTCTCTGCTCAATCCCGTATATCCAGTCCTTAGATGTGGTGCCCCCCTTTTGATTATCCAGCACCTTTTAGACTGAGAGCTCAAATATATCACTCACAACACGCTGGAGGGAAAAGAACAAAAACCTGCTGGGTGTGGTCACTCAGCTGTAATCCCAGCACTTTGGGAGGCTGACGTGGGCGGATCACTCGAGGCCAGGAGTTTGAGATCAGCCTGGCCAACATGGTAAAACCCTATCTCTACTAAAAACACAAAACATTAGCCAGGCATGGTAGCACACACCTGTAATCCCAGTTACTTGGGAGGCAAAGGCAGGAGAATTACTTGAATCCGGGAGATGGAGGTTGCAGTGAGCGATGATCACACCACTGCACTCCAGCCTGGGCAAGAGACAGAGATACTGAGAGACTCTGTCTCAATTAAACAACAACAACAAAACACTATTTCTCTATAGTTTTCACTCAAATCACAAGGCCTTTAAGCTGAACTTTCAGCTTTCCACACACATTCCGTGTTAAAAGTGCCCAATGTAATCCTGTGCCAACTAAACACCAACCTGCCTGAAAAATACGTTACATGTGATTATTACAGGCAGCAAAGACGTATGATACCTATAAAATCTGCATGAAACTGTAACATATAAACACAGTGGTGTCTACAAACGCGACAAGCATTGATGAGACAGAAACTTTCCCGTAGTAAGAAGGAATCCAGTGCACCTTGGTCTCCTTGCTCCCCATCACGATGCCACGATCCACAGAACTAACAGTATTTCCGCTTCTAGGAAGAGCCACAATCCCTCATAAACTTCTGGGAGGCTCAGAACAAAGCAGGCGAGCTCACTGTTTGCCTGACAGCAATGATTCTGACACATCAAACTGACGTAACAGCAGATCTAAGACAGCTGGCTTTAGGGGATTTGGTCACTTTTCCACTTTCCTGATTTGACTACTAATCAAATGCCAAAATGTAATCTTTCAAATCTTTCTAAACTTTTTTTCTTTTTAAAGACAGAATCTCACTCTGTTGGCCAGGCTGAAGTACAGTGGCATGCTCATGGCCCACTGCAACCGTGACCTCCCTGGCTCAAGCAATTCTCCCACCTCAGCCCCCAAGTAGCTGGGACTACAGGTGTGTACCACCATGCCCTGCTAATTTTTAAAGAGATAGGGTTTCACTGTGTTGCTCAGACTGGTCTCCAACTACTCGGCTCAAGCAATCTGCCCATCTCAGTCTCCCAAAGTGCTGAGATTATAGGTGTGAGTCGCCTCATC